TCTCTCTCTCTTTCCCTTCCTCCCCTACCCTCTTTCCTTCTTCTTCCCTTCTTAAACTCGTCCTTGTCCGTTTATACCTTTGTCCTTGCCCCGTGTTGCTTTATTATTGGGATAGATTCGAATAGGGTTTCTTCTAGAGAATATATAGAGATATATTCATATAAATATATATATATATATATATAGGTATCGATACGGATTTCACAAGGACAATTTTCGAACTAGTCGTGGTATTATTGATATTTATTGAGCCCTTTGTTCGACCAGGGAGACGGTCAGTCTTCTGTAAGCTGACATTGATGGAGTTTTGAAGGGAGATTTATTAGTCGGCTATTATCGTTTCGACTATTCCTTCTTTTTCCTCTCGAATAATTGTACGAATTAAATAAACGACATTTTAAACATGGAAGGTCTTAAAACGTTGATAATAATTTTCTGGATATATTGTTCCGTTATTTTGTAACAAAAATTGTTTTTCTTTTTTCAAGTTAAGAATGAATGTTAATATTTATTTATACAGATCTTGTACGAGAGTGGAAAGGAGAAGGAAAAAATTGATGAAAATTTACGGATCGAAATCTCTGAAAGGTAAATTCTGTCAGAATCGAAGAAGCAAAGTTGGACGGACCTCGAACACTTATATATATATATATATAATAGCCGGCGACGACGGAGGTCAGACGAAGCTGTTTCCTTGAAATCGGGTAGCGACCTGCAGCGATACGCATTTATATGCAACGAATACACCATGGCCCTCGCGTGGTATCTATTTTTAATCGGTTGGTATAAAGCGATCGCACGTGTCGGCATTATTGCCATCTTATAAGGAGGAATAATTGACGAGCTTTCTGGAAATCTATTCGAATTTTTTCCAAATTTTTTCCCTTATCGAGATCGGGCGAAATTTAAAACTTGTATCCCCTTGAAAAAAAAAAAAATCCCGTTTCGAGGAACAACGAACGAACAAAGATCCCAGAGGCGTGGCTCATAATGTGAGCGCACCTATGTATTTATTATAGACACGCGAGAATATTCTCAAATCATGGAGCAAATACTTCCTGCCTTTTGTGCCGTGGAATCGGTTTCCACCTTCGTTATCCCGGTTGAACTAATTATACAAATATTCCTCTCCTTTTTAACCCCTCTACATCAAATCAAAATCTAATAATAATCTGTATAATTGATCATCTGTCTCGGATGGAAAATTTAATCAACTTAATATTTATAAGAGGGGAGGAGAAAATATAGAACGAAAAACTTCCTCCTCTCCCCGAGCTTTCAAGCTACTTCACTTATAAAACGCGTTTCGAATCGCGACGCGAGCGGTCGTTTAACTCAATTCCGCTTCGATCCAACAATAAGAGAGACATCGCGTCGAAAGCGGGTACGTGTCGCGTTCGCATAATCTATCCCGAGAAATTTATACGGACGATTATCCGGTTGGTCGATGACCTTCCAACCGCGAGGTAGAAACATTTATGGATTCGTCATCGCGCTTCCCTTGAAATCCGTATCCTCTAGGGTTTTTTAGAGGAGTCGTAATCCACTGTGTCATCGGGCGATCGTTGGCCGCCAATTATGTTAATCGCCGCTTGTTTGTCGATCGAGCTCGAGAGAAGAATGCGGTCCATCGAGAGGATCGATTATTATGCCCGGCGATTAAATTTTTCTTCGAGTTTCAAGTCTAGTCTGGCTCGTATGAAACGGTTGGGATATATATATATATATATATTTATTGCGAATATATTATTGGTA